TATATATATATATATATATATATATATATATATATATATATATATATCTCCTTAGGATGAGGAAGACTGGGCTACTGTTTTAGCCCAGTTTTAGGTTTTTTTCTCTTGTCTTCCTTGGACTTCACTAGTTTGAAGCCAAGAATTAAATGGGTCAATAAGCTCCCAGAGCTGTTAACAAGCTCCTCCCTCAGAACTACACATACCACCTCATCCCCCCACAACTTCGGAGGAAAGGGGGCTCCATACCACGCTCTAGGGCAGCAGTTCTCAATCTGGGGGTCGAGACCCCTTTGAGGTCCAACAACCTTTACACAGGGTTCACCTGAGGCCATTGGAAAACACAGAAGTCTACATTATGATTAACAACAGTAGCAAAATTACAGTTATGAGGAAGCAACAGAAATGATTTTATGGTTGGGGTCACCATAGCACGAGGAACTGTGTTAAAGGGTCTCAGCATTAGGAAGGCTGAGAACCACTGGTCTAGGGGTCATAGAAATGTAACAAACTCCTTCTTCATCCAAGTGCTAACTAAAACCCCAGCCAGGAGCTGACCTCTTTGTGACCTGTGTGTCCCTCCACCATGAAGTCCCCTTTCCTATGAGATCACCACGCATCCTCACACAACCAAAGCTATCTTAAGTACCCAGAATAACATGCCCCATTGTTGGTGATGCTCCCATAATACAGTCTCACCTAGTCATGTCATATCCATCTGTGATGCTGTAATTATTTTTTTTTTAGACAGGGTCTCCCTATGTAGGCCAGGAGCTCACTATGCAGCTGAGCCTCGCCTTGAAGTCACAGAGATCCACCTGCCTCTGCCTTCTAAGTGCTGTGGGCATCACATGTGTGCCTGGTACCCAAAGAGGTAAGAGGGTATGAGGGTTACAGATGGGTGTGAGCTGCCATGTGGGTAGTGGGATTCAAATCTGGTTCCTCTGAAAGAGTAGCAACTACTCTTAACCACTGAGGCAGTTCATCAGCTCTGACAATGGCTTTTCTTAGGGGCGTGATTAATGAGCAATTTAGCAGATGAGGAAATAGCTCAGGGTTGTGGTAAGCCCAGATCTGAAATTCAACTGTGCCCACGCCAGAACAAAAACAGAAACACCCAAAAAACAAAAACAAAAACCAAAACCAAACAGCGATAACAACACCAAGAAAAGAAAAGCAAAACCACATATCTGGGTTAAATGCCACCAGCCTGTATGCAGAGCCTGGTGTTCTGACTTAAAGCGTAGTGCCGTTTGTGCTGATATGGCGATCACCAAGGCAACCCAAACCAATGCCGCCCCTAAGGCCGTAGCTGAGCCTGTTTCTTGCTCCTTAGATGCTGTGGCAGCCTCGTTACCTGCCTGCATGTGAACATGCTTTGTCAAGTAGCAAGAGTCCATCTGATCAGGGGACTCTGACAATCTTCGCAAAGCATGGCTTGGATCTCTTTTGAGTCATACTTTTCAATAGATCGTTGTAGATACTTTTAATGTATTTCCCTGGGTTTCATAGTTTTCCGAAGCATTCCCCCAAATAGCAATTAATCAAAAAGACACACATAGAAAAGACGATGTGTGTGCCACCAATAAGCAAGGTTCAGTCCTGGCTTTGCTGCCATAGGGAGCATTACTGAACTACTCTGGACCTCAGCCTCCTCCTCTAGGAACCATAGAAATAAATGTGTGGCATCAGACACATAATTAAGTGTAAAACAGTAGTGCCTGGTGTGAGTAGATGTTCAGCAGTACCCATTCCCTTGTCTGCTCACTTATAGCCTGCCCCTTCAACCCACTCCCGAAGATACAGAGTGGATTCTATTGGGAAAACCAAGCTTGAATCTTAATAGTGATGGCTAAGGTTGTGGGGAAATACCCAGTTCTATGGGAAAGACCGTGATTGTCATGGGCGCATCTCAGCTTCCTGAGGACCCCAGGACACATTTGGACTTTCCACGTAAGAAGGTGGGTTTTTGAGTTAGGTTTTTGTTTACATCCTTCATCCCAAACAGCTGTTGCATTCTACTTAAAATGTGGAAGCTAAAATGTTTATCTCATAGAAAGAGAACCTAGCCTAAGAAGAGGGCTGGGCGGCAGAGATTCGATGATTAGTGAGAACAGACATAGAACAGGATGAGAGAAATAGCTCAATGTCCTATGACACAGTAGAGTAACTATGCTCAATGATAAATAACTACATATTTCAAAATAACTGAAAGGATTATGAATGGTCCCACCATAAGCAATAGTATACCTCTGAGCTAATGGGCACAATAATTACCTCAATTTGATCTGATCATTTTACACTTTATACTTTCATTGTACTGTCACTGTCTAAACATATACAATTATGATTTCACTTAAAACAGATTTTTAAATTTTTCTAACCAGATTTATCAGGGAAAATTAGAAAAGAAAACATTAATATGAAAAAACAAAAGCTATCAGTAGACCTTTTAAAGAATAAAGGGGTGCTGAGGAACACTCTGGACACTGCATGACCATAAACTTGACGACTCGGATGAAATGGATGGCTTCCTTAAAGGAGGGGGTGAAAAAGCTGCCAGTGCTCACACGCAAAAAAGAGCTACTGAGAGTTTGTTGGTGCTCTCTGTGTTGTCGGTGCTCTTGTTTGAAATGGCTGCATAGCCCAGGCTGGCTTCCAACTTGTGAAGCTCCTGTCTCAGGTCCCCAAGTAGGCAGGATTTACAGGTGTATGCCCCTGTGCCTGGCTGGACATCCTGAATCTGCCCACACAGTTCCATTCAGATATTTAAGAAGAGGGAGGACATTTTAATTGCTTCAGAAGAGGCTATAATTACTCCAGTTGCAAAAGCCATACAATTCAGTGCAAGGAAGGAAAACTGAGGATCTGCATTCTCACAGACACCGGTGCAAGTCCTCAACAAGCCAGGAGGTGACGAATGCCTTTAATCCCAGCGCTCTGGAGACAGAAACAGGTAGATCTACGACCTACATGGTAAGTTACAAACTGACAGAAAATAGTCACAGATTACAGATAACAAGATTCTTAGGTCCACAATATTTCTTTAAGGTTTTCTAAACCAAAAGAAAGAAACACTAATTTCTAAAAATAGACGTAGTATTTAAAGGATAACTAAAAAAAAAAAAAAATGAATAGCAAAGAAACACATAAAATGATGCCTAACCTCATTAAACACGAGAAAAACAAAGGTAAGATACAATGAACAACAATGTCAAACTTCCTAAAATGGCTACAGTTTTAAATTGATAATAATTCTGACAACCAAGAGAAGCACTGGATAACTGACATATTATAATGCTACTATAAAATAACGTGGTCACAATGGAGTATTTGGCCATCTTTGCAGTTGAGTTTGCATTTACAACAATATAACCAAGCAGTCTTTATGCTACATATTTACTCTGCAGAAATTTAAACTCCTGGTCACACACACACACACACACACACACACACACACACACCTAACAGGAGGGCCTAACAGATGGCTCAGTGGGTACTAGTACTTTTTCCACAAACATGAGGACTGAGTTTGAATCCCTAGCACCCATGCAAACATCAAGGTGTGGCCTCAGGCATGCACCTGTAACCCGAGCACTTTGTGGGGCAGAGACCGGAGGATGGCTGCTGCTCAATGGAAGCCAGACTACCTCTAGGCTCAGTGAAAGGCTGTGTCTCAAAAGAATAAGGAAGGGAGTGGCGGAGCAGGACGCTGCATCCTCCTCCGGTCTGTACATGTACACGCGTGCACATAAAAACAAGTAAATAGCCGGGCATGTTGGTGCACGCCTGTAATCCCAGCACAGGGAGGCAGAGGCAGGCAGAGCTCTGTGAGTCCACGGCTGGCCTGGTCTACAGAGTGAGTTCCAGGACAACCAGGGCTCATAGTACACAGAGAAACTCCGTCTCAGGGGGAGAAAAGACAAAATCAAAAAATAAATAAATAAAAATTTGTACATGAAAACGAATATACAACAGTATTCCTAACTGACAAGAAGTACAACTAACCCAAATGTCTTTGAGTTTGGGAGTGACCAAACAATGGCATAAGCATTTAGAGGAATCTTTCTCAGAAATAAAAGGAATGAGCTAATGAACAATGGCATTCTAACTGGGAGACAACAGATTCACCAAGTATCATACGGCTTCATTTATTTGACATTCTGGGAAAAAAAAAGGAATTACAGGGACAGAAAAGAAAAATCAGTGCTCACCAGGAGGACCGTTCTGCATTACAACTATAGTAGTAGTTTGTGAGAGTATCAAAGCTCAAAACTAGACCCAAATAGTGTTGAGTTTGCTGTCTGAAGAGATGGCTCAGTGGTAAAGAGCACTTACTGCTCCTCCAGAAGACCAGAGTTCAGTTCCCATCACCCACCCTGTGTGGTTCACAACCCACCCAGGGGAAGCATGCTTTCTTCTGGCCTCTGAGGGCACCGGCACACACATGGCATATGCTCTCTCTCTCTCTCTCACACACACACACACACAGAGAGAGAGAGAGAGAGAGAGAAAGACAGAAAGACAGATAGATAAATTTTTAAAGTGCACTGAGTTTGCTATATGTAAGTTAAAAATAAAAGAAATCTGGAATAGCTATATCAATGCCAGAAAAGCAAAGAACACAGACACAAAACTTTCTTTCAAAACGTTAAGAAAAAAACATAAACACTCCACCAGACTGATCAAGGAAAAGACATGACTGACTCCAAGAGCAAAAGGAGAGTCACCATTACAGATCCTACAGATATTAGAATGTAATAGGGAGGGGCTGGAGAGAGGGCTCAGCAGCTAAGAGCACTGGCAGCTCTTGCAGAAGACCTGGGTTTGGTTCCCAGAACACACACGGTGGCTCACAGCCATCTGTAACTCCACTCACAAGGGTCTGATGCCCCCTTCTGAGTTCTGCAGAAACCAGGCGTGCATGTGGTGTACATACATACACACGGATGAATCCTCATGAACATAAATGTAGTAAAAACATATAATAGGAAATTTAAACAATGTATGCCATTGAACTTAATAACCTAGATGAAATTAACAAACTCACTGGAAGCCACAAACAGCCTTAGCTGGTGCCTGAATACCTATCTCCCTATCTGCTAGACGCATGAACTTGTTGCAAAGAAAGGGATTTGGGAGGAGAAAAACCTCCATGAAGAAAAGCACCAGGCCCCGGTGGCTTTACTGGTGAAATCTGCCCAAGTGTCATAGAAAAAAAAATAAGTTTAATTCTACTCAAGCTCTTGTAAAATAAATACATACATAGATAGATTAATAATATATAAAATACAAGCAAAGGCAACACTAACCAGATCAATTATGTCACAATGTCACAATTTTAAAAACATCAGGTGGTGTCACCATTACTCACAAAGCTCCTAAATCAAAGTCATTGCCCAAGAATTCTTCAAGCAGACTAGTATCCAGGGCTGGGTTCTCCACAGTGCCGCTGGCTCCCTGTGCTGCAAAGGAAAATTGAAAACCTTGAGAACCATGACCATTTTAGAATGACAGCTAACACTTTGACAAGCAGGTACCCAGACTTACAAGGCAACCAATAACACAATGCTTTTCCTGGGAATGTGGCCTTTTCCCCATTCAAACACTTCCATTCAGAAATCTCTTCAGATCACCCTTTACAGCAAGACTCCCTGATGGTCTGAAGATGGTGTAGTGCTCCATTTTATGAGCCCCTGTAACTCTGCCTTGTGCACTGTTGATAAACCTCTTTTCCCCTTTCGCTTTTTCTCCTTCAAAGACAGGGACTGTGTCTTTCTTATTTTATCCACGTGTATCTAAGGCATGAAAGAAGCAAGTAACAGTCATTTGTTGGGTAGATGGATATATCCATGGCTGGCTTGATGATTGGTTTGATCAGCCTAAGTTCAATATATTTTTTACATTTATTCTTAAACTTCTCCAAATACAATAGTTCTGCCCTTCTTTTTGACTTACAAAATTAAAAAATACCATATTTATTTTCTACTGATTGAAGTGAATATTATTAGACTTTTAAAAGATATAAAATACAGTGTAAAAATCAATATAACAAGGAAGAAAAAAATATTGGGGGGGGGGCTTGATGAAATGGCTTGGTAGGTAAAAAGAGCTTTGTGTACACGCCTGACCTCCTGAGTTTGATCCCTGGAAAATCAGAGGGAATTCACTCTAAAAGTTGTCTTCTAACCTCCATACACACACGTGCACCCTCACACACACCCATCACACACACACAGTAATAATAAATAAAAGAAACACTTTTGCCAGCAACTAAAAAGGTTTTACACTTAGCCAACTCAAGAGAAAAATAACTGATTATCACAAATAATCGGAACATCAAATAGGATGGTTGGCTAAAATAAAACATACGAATTAATTTTTCTTATATAAATAATACCAATTAACATTCAGAGGACTATAATGAAGGAGATTTCATTGAAAATAACAGAAAGCCTGAAACTTAAATTAAACACTCTTGAATTTGTTTCTTATTTTTTTCTTTTTTTAATCTCTTTTTATTAATTACACTTTATTCACTTTGTATCCCCTCATAAACCCCTCTCTCCTCCCCTCCTAATCCCACCTTCCTTCCTCCTTCTTCACTCATGTCCCTCCCCAAGTCCACTGATAGGGGAGGTCCCCTCTCCTTCCTTCTGACCCTAGTCTATCAGATTTCATCAGGAGTGGCTGCATTGTCATCTTCTATGGCCTGGTAAGGCTGCTCCCTGCTCAGGGTTAGGTGATCAAAGAGCAGGCCAATCAGTTCATGTCAAAGACAGTCCCTGTTCCCATTACTATGGAACCCACTGGGAGACTGAACCGTCATGGGCTACATCTGTGCAGGGGTTCTGGGTTCATGCTGTTTCTTATTTTAACATACTAAATGATATGTTCTATTATAACATTGTCATATATATTAATTATTATACTAAAATAATGCTTAGCTAAAAAAATCTTCATCCAAGGCCTTAAGATGAGATTTAAATAAATAGAGAGACCTCCATTGTTCTTTAGCTGAAAACTCAGTATGACAAAGGTTTTAGTAGACATTATTTAGAATGTCCACCAATGCCACTGTGCCTTTTCTGAGCCGACTCCTCTCACAAAGCCACCTGCTGCAGCCACATTTACAGCACACAGCCTCATGGGCAGAACCAGGCAGAGCCTCAGTTGATTGGCCAATGACCAACTCAATTATTTCAGCCAATAATTTGAATGAACAGCTTTGGAATCCAGCATTTTAGATGAAATCCTACAATAGTAGGGCAGAAAACTAGATAATAATCTAAATATTTCCGCTCTTTGCCCAAATCCTGGCTTTGTTTTTTCACCTTCTGTGTTTTGGTTATTCCATTTTTTTTTCCAATTTCATGTCAAACTGCTGAACACACACAATAACTCCCTTTTAATGGTATCTGTGCCACTTAAGTCAAAGGCTCTCCACATTAAAATATTTTGAAATAATTCTTTAAAATAGTTCTTCCTAGCTGGACATTGTGACATACTCCAAAGGCAGAGGCAGGGGGATCTCTGTGAGTTCAAGGCTGCCCTGGTCTATACAGTAAGCTCCAGGACAATCAGGAATACATAGAGAGACCCTGTCTCAAACAAACAAACAAATGAATAAAATGTTCATTCTTTAGAGTATAAATACACAAAATGACACAAAAGAATGTAAGAGCTATATGAATGGGCACATTAAAGGGGCACAAGCTACTCAATATAAAGAAATACTATAATAGCTGGAGTTTTATCACATGACAAACATACTTTGGCGTCAGTTATTCAATAAACACTATAAAAAAAAACACTATGACTGAAGTCTATGGGAAACCAACTCAATCACTGCCCAGCTTCAGCGTCAATTCCAGATTGGTCAAACACTGCTATGTGAAAATAAAATCACAGAAAAAAAGGTGATGTAGTCATATATGATCATGAACATGTACATGTAGTTCTCGTGATCATAAGACAGACGAGGACTTTTAACCAACCATGACAAAGAAAACCAGAAACAATAAAGAAATACAGGGATGAATTTTTCTCCACAAATGTGATTAAAAAATCATCATTTTGTACAATAAACATAGCAACAATACTTTTTTAAATTCACCGTATACAGTTTTCAGGAGGAAAGAATTTTTAACACGTTGAAAATAATTGTAATCCTATGGAGAACAATAAAGCAAAGGATCGCACAAACACCCTTCACCCGGATTCATAGACATTTCTTTTCTTGCTCTCTCTCTCTTTCCGTCTCTCTCTCTCTCTCTCTCTCTCACACACACACACACACACACACACACACACACATACTCTCTCTCATTCTCATACTCCTCTCTCACATACATCTCATACACACACATATAAAGACATTTATCTTTAAAAGCCCAAGCAAACAAAAACACACAGACTTCTTCCTATCAAACCTTTCTAAGTCCTTTAAGAATACAGCCTTGTACTGGATATTTCAGTGCACCCTCCTATGTATAAAAACATTATTTTCATAACTAAAATTCAATTAGGAGCCTCAGAAAGTTTAAGATGAATACAGGTTTTTAATATAGCTTATGTTCCTATTCGAATTATACCCATCATCCCTGTAATGTTACCTATGGGACTTTTTTTCTTATCCAGCATCTAATCCATTTATCTATCAGGACTCCTTAGATTCTTTTTTTTGAAAGACCTGGCCAGTTGTGTTGTGACTTGACTAAGGGAAAATAAGCAGCAAGGGTTGGAAGATGAGAGGATAGATCATCATGCTAACCACGTCATCATCCATCTCTCAGAGCCCTTCAAAAGATCATTATTAGTAGGCGTCATACTTTTATCACTATCATTAACTACCTGAGCAAGCTAACTTTATAAAGAAAGGTGGTTTGTTGAGTTCATAACTTCAGAAGTTCAGTGCTTGGCACTGGGACTGGCTCCGCTCTATGACAGCTTTCTTGGGGGCAGGGTACCAAGCAGCACTTTGTACCCAATGGTATGAGAAAGAAGCCACACCTCCATGTCTGTATGTCTAGTTTCTGTTCCTTTTCTTACCAACCCCTGAGAGCGCAATCATGGGGTCCCACTCTAATAACCCTATCTAAACTCTCACTTTGCCTCAGTACCATAGATGGATTAAGTCTCCAGCTTTGTAATTTGTAATTAGCATGTGAATTTGGAATAACAAACTACTTTAAATCTGAGCCAGTTAGAAAAAAATTAGTCCAACACATTAATGATTTTTTTTTAACCCCCATTTCTTGGTCTTGAAAGAATTCTTTAAAAGTGGTATCTCTTAACAGCATAGAAAGAATTGTTGTAAATTCTGAGCTCACTATGGTTCCCATAAAGATACTTTTATTGTAGTAAGTTCAAGTAAAAGTAATATAGTTTATATAAGGTGGTGAGATCTATTTACTAGCCAGATAGTGAGATCTCCAGAGCGTAGGATGCAGAGGCAATAGGGTTGCGTGTCTGAGGCCAGCCTGGGCCTCAGGCGGAAGTGCACCTTAAGAAATAAACAGTGATTTCATAAAATTATCATATCCACTCCTTTATTCTCTTTCTATGGATTTGCAGAGAGATAATAAGTATAATTACAAAACTATTAACAGTGGCTTAATTATGGGATTTAAGATAATTTATCATTATTTAGAAACAGTTACTTTAGGCTTTGGAAAATATGTTGTACAATTTTACATAAAAGTGATATTTTAAAAGCCAAGTTGCCAGAATTCTCAAAAATAAAGACAAAGCCTAAAATTACTCTCAGCCTGGAAACAAATAGGAAAACTTCCACTCATTCTTACTGTCAGGTCCAGTACATAAGAGCATGGAGGCCAGGCATGGTGAGACGCACCTTTAATCCCAGCACTCAGGAGGCAGAATAAGGCAGATCTCTCTGAGTGTGAAGCCAGGTTGGTCTACAGAGCAAGTTCTAAGCCAGCCAGGGTTATGTAGTGAGATCTGTCTCAAGACAGAAAGACAGATGGATGCATGCAGAGAGAGAGAGAGAGAGAGATGGAGAGATGGATAGATGATAGGTAGGTAGGTAGATAGATAGATAGATAGATAGATAGATAGATAGATAGATAGATAG